TAATTCTTAAAAAAAATTAAAACCAATATTCACTTTTTTTATATACAAATATATCAATCAGTACCATCACAAAAAAATATAATATCAACATCAATAACCTCCATTATGCAATTTAGACTCCACACTGATTTTTTTGTACATATATACTCTACTGCACAGTTTTTCCTGACGTTGGAAGAAAAAGTCAATGCAACAAGTCAAGCCACACTTGAATACAGAACATTTTGATGTCAGATTGGTTGTGTTTGGTGCATTTTTTCTGCTAGCACATGATGTTACAACGTTGTCTTCAATTGTGTCTTAAAATTAGTCTAAGAGGAAAAAGAATTGATCAATTCCTAACTTATACGTCAATCTTGACTCCATAAGAATCACAAAACTGCAAAGAATAGGTTTTGCTAATTGTAATTGTTAATTTCTCCGTGATCAGAGCAGTGGTGGAGGCAGAAATTCAGGTGAGGGTGCAGAAGGTTGAAATTTTTTGTGAATTATTTATTAATTTATATTAATTTTTATATTAATCACTAATTTTACATAAGTGTTATTTATGTTATGCAGGCAAAATTTTTAATTAATTAGATATATTTAGCTTTATTAAGAAAATTAGATATATTTAATTATTTTTGAATGATACATACCTTAAAAACTATAAATAAATAATATAAAAATATAGCTTATTTTTTTGAATGGTTACTTATATCAAAACAACTGTAAATTTGAAATATATGATTTGTATGAATAGAATAAATTCAATCATTATTTTCATGTAATATAAATTGTGTAAAAAAATTATATATAACTAATGTAAAAACTTATATAAGTTACATAAATATAATTAACTAAATCTTGATTTTTTTTAATTTTTTTTTTACCTAGACCAAATTATCATATCTTAAAAATTAATCACAAAGAGAGAAATGATTCTTTTACCTAAATTCTAAATATTTTCTTTATATTTGAAATGATCCCAATAATTCAAAAACTTGAAAAACAAAATTTTGTAAAAACTAAAAATTAATGTACCATATTTGAAAATTTTGAAAAGCTTAGTGGGCGCGGCTGGCCCCCATTGTCCTCCACTGGCTCCGTCCCCGGACCAGAGTTTCCCACTTCCCCTCCACATCTCTAACAACTGTTACCATATTGTACCTAGGGCTAGTAAAGTAGAGTACGTCACTCCCTCTATTCAAAATTATTCTTTTCAAATTTAAAATTTGTGGGTAATATTTGTATATATTTATAATATTTTTT